TCAGCAAGATAAATAAGTAAAATATTAGTGTGAGAAGTGTATACCTAAGAAGGGGAATAGAGTATATATAGGGGTGTGTAGGAAGGGGCAGGAAGTTGCAGTGTAGATACCATTGCAGAGATGACCTCAGAAGATTGTGACATAAGAATAAAGATCTGAAGGAAAGGACGGAGAAAGTGAGGGTGACTGAAGTAGAGTGCAGTGGGCAGAAGGACCTCCAGATAAAATGATGAAGGCCTGAGAATTGACCATCGCATTTGTTCAGCAGACGTCATTTGTGAGACTCTCTGTAGCTGTTAGGAAATTGAGAACAGCTGCTAGTGTCTGAGCTAGTTCAGCCCACCCTCGTCACCACGGTACAGGAGGCTTAAAGCTAAAGATGGGCAGGGTCTGTTCTCAGAATCTCCAGTTCCCTGCCATAGGAAGTGTTGTAAACGGAAAGAGTGTGAGCAGTGGAATGACGTACCAGTATTTGTTTAAAAATAATGTCCTAGTTACATTATGGAAGAAGAGTTGGGAAATTGCTGTATGGTTGGTAAATATTTATGTGATAATAGTAGGAAGTTGTTAACATATACAATTACTTTCAGATAACTGGAGAAAGTTAACTTTAAGAATCTTGTTATTATTTCACTTTCTTCACACATACAGATTCTTTCTTATTTAGCAGTTCCTTTCAATGATATCTTGGTCCAGAACCAACAAAGGGACTAATACACCAATGCTTTTAGTGGAGTTTTTAGTTTTCTTATCTCTTACAAGTACCTAAGTTATTTCTGTCCCTGGTGTACCTACAAGTCAACTAGCCTCCTGACAATTAATATCAGTCATAATGAAGACGGAGACATTTTAAATTAATAGCATTTTGCTTACCAAATTTGATTTATATATAACTATTCAGGGGTACATGTTTATATGCAGTGAATCCATCCAACTCCCTTTTACTCCCTTAAAGTAAAAATAAAAATCTGAATTTTAAATCCCAGATTAGTTTGTCCCGGACATACAAAAAAACCTTTCTTTCAATCCTAAGTAATATAGTAAGTACTGTTTTACTGCAATTCACAATGATCATTAGAAATGCTGATCATGAAAATAGCTAAATGAATTCATAATTATTTATTTTAGGGTTACAAATATGTGATAAAACTCTGCCTATAAGAATTATGATTGAGGGCCTCCCAGGTGGCGCAGCGGTAGAGTGCTGGTCTGCGAAGCTGCCCGCAGCCTCTGCAGCGCCGGTTCGATCCCCAGCCACCGGGTGAGGGTCCCACATGCCGCGCAGACCTCTCCTGCCGCCCACTGCTCCCTTCAGCAGTGTACTTCGGTCCTTCTGCCTGCTCTTCTCTCCGCTCTGACTCTGGTGAATTCTCTCACCCTCCCGCGCTTCTGACTGTAACCAGTGCTTGTATAAAGAAATTAAATCTTAAAAAAAAATTATGATTGAATTAGTCTTCAGTAGAATTTGAACAAAATCTTATAAATTTTTATCCAACTAGCAGAACAATCTTCAATTTATTTATATTCACAAAGCAATTCAATAAATATTACATAATTTAATCCTTAAAATATCTTGTGAAGAAGATATTAATATTTTTTTCAGTGACAACAGGAGAAAAGGAAAGCAATTTTTTCACTTAACTGATTCCCTCAAAGATTTAATTATCTAAAAAAGCTCAAAACAAATCATACATCATGAATCTTAAAATATAAAACATTAGGAATCACAACTAACCAGATGCCAGAAAAAAGTTACAAGGGAGAGGACAGTTGTTGAAATATGTCAGGATCATTTCAAAACTAGCAACATCCCCCTTCCAACCAGAAAAACAACAACAAAAAACTACTTTATTCTCAAAGAAGGATTTTAGTCAAGTATTTTTATCATTGTCTCTATTATTGACTCAGCTTTGCTCCTTCCCTTATTATCACATGCCCCCTTGACAAAAGGAAAAAAATGGAAATAGCACTTCCTTAAAGAGAAGAGAGAACCTGGGTTGATTCACTTGTTCTACTGGTTACAAAACACAGTCAATGGGCCAAAGAGCAGAAACTTGAAGTCATAATTGGATTAATTTTGCAGAGGACAAAGTCAAATTGTAAAATTGTAAAAAAAGACCCCTTCTATCACCATATATGTGACTTTATCCAACTGAGAAGATGAAGTTATCAGGAGGTGCCCAAGATTAAACAGAACAACTTCATGTTTATGTAGTACAAATCTCACTCATTAATAAGCAGGTATATTCCCAAAGCAGGTGAAAATTTTGATCAGTTTCAGAAAATATTTCCTATGGTTCCAAGAGAGGATTTTCTTCTTTTTTGTCTCCTCTGGCAGCATTGGCATAGTTAGCAAATGAAATACAGGACATTCAATGAAGTTTGATTTTCAGATAATCAATTTTTTATAATACAAGTTTATTCCAAATATCTCATGGAACATACTTAAACTAAAAAAGTTATTTTTGTCAGGGATTCATATTTAACTGGACACTCTATATGATGTTTATACATTCTATATTTGATGTGGAAACTTTAATCCCAAAGTAATTAAAAATAATTCTCTCAAAGGAATTTTAATTCACAAGTTCATTCAATGTACCATTAAAAACTCACAGGGGCCTACCCCTTGGTGCAGCGGGTTGAGGGTTGCTATGTGAAGCTGTCCTCAGCCTCTGCAGTGCAGGTTCAATTCCTGGCTGGCCAGGGAGATAATGACATGGCATGGCAGACCTCTCTTGTCTCACCCGCTGCTCCCCTCAGCAGTGTTTTCCGTCATCTGCCTGTTCTGCTTCCCGCTCTGTCTCTGGTGAATCCTCTCACCCTCCCGTGCCTCTGACCTGTACCCAGTTATTGTATAAATAAATAAATCTTTAAAAATAAATAAATAAATAAAAATAAAAACTCACAGGTCTGGTGTTCTAGACAGTTGAAGAGTCAATCTGAGCAACACTTTAATGAGCTAGAATGTGTATCCAAATCCATAAGCATTATAGGAACTTTATTTATTCACCTCGTTGTCTCCTATAGACTTTTCATTTTATCTCATCCCATTGTTCTAAAAGAAACCATCATTATTCTTCAAATACCTGTCTTAAAATTGAATTGTTTCACTACTTGGAAGCACTAAAAGCTCAGGGACTGGAATCTGTTCTGTTACTTAGAAGTCCCATTGTCAAAGAGGATGTTACTGTTTACAAGTAGACTCAGAAGCACTCACCTTAAGAAATAATCACTATTTCTTCATAGACACTGAGAAGGTTAAATTTCCTATTATCCCCATTATATAGGCCAGAAAAGTAGACATCTCTGCAACCACTGTTTTTGAAATTCTGCTGTCTAACCACAACTTCCTTTTCTTCCACATGCTTGTTCACTGAGTCTGATTTTAGTTCTTCTGGTGGTCACTGCTTTAACTTTCAAAAAGAAATATTTAAGCTTCTTTCTTGATTTCCTAGTATTAGATTATTTCTGTTGCCTCCTGGTAATGAAAGATCAATGAATTTGCATATTACAGTTCCTTATATATATGAACCCTTCTTTCTAATTGTGATTAAATAAACCATTATTTTATATTATTGTTTTTATTTTTAAGAGAAAAAGTTAATAATGACATGTATACCTCCTGTAGACATAGGTGAGACCATCATAACTGAATAACTCCTTATTGCTGCTAAATAGTTGTATACTTAACTCTGTAATCTGATTAATGAGCTTTAAATATTATCTTTTGTGTCTTGTTTACAAGGACTGTTCCTAGTCCTTCCTGTTCCCAGCCAGCTTTTCTTGGGTTTTATTAATGCTTCTACAGTGTGGAGGTGTATGATGTTTATATTTAATACTGTTTCTAGAGTTCCTGTCAATATTTAGCCTTAGTTCTAATTTAAATGTTTTTTCTTTCTAGCTCTTGTTTGGCTGGAAGTTTTCATCAAACAGTTTCTTTACAATGAGCTGGTAGTAATTTCCTGGAGTTTCGAGTAACTGAAATGTTTGTCTGTCTTTTGAATTACTTGAATTATACTCAAACTAAGCTTTGCATAAAATTCTTTCCAAAAGTATACTGTCACATTTCTTCACTATATTCTCATATTAAAAGTTGTTGTAAAGAGGGGCCTCCCTGGTGGCGCAAGGGATTAAGCATCGCACTATGAAGCAATCCGCAGCCTCTGCAGCACCAGTTCAATTCCCAGCCAGCCAGGGAGCAACCCACATGGCGCAGCAGACCTCTCCTGTCTTGCCCGCTGCTCCCCTCAGCAGTGCACTTTGGTCAATCTGCCTGTTCTGTTCCCCACTCTGTCTCTGGTGAATCCTCTCACCCTGCACATCTCTGGCCTGTACCCCAGCTCTTGTATGCATAAATAAATAAATCTTAAAAAAAAAGTTGCTGCAAAGAAACGTAGAGGTTTTCCCTTCTATTTTTTTTGGGGGGGACTGGGGGTGGATCCACAGGATTTTGCCTATATTCTTGCAGCCCAGTAACATTACCTGTATATTGTTAGAGAAGACTTTCGTCCTTTTTCTTCTGGAACTCAGGGTGCTATTCTAAGTTGTAGACTCAGTATTCCTTAAGAAAATTATATTATTAAAAAAGGGACAAAATATTATAAAAAGATTAAGAAATGACAACAGATATTTCAGAAATGCTGAGATTCATAAACAAGTATCACCAAGATCTATATGCCAGGAAATTGAATAACCTTTATTTTTTTAAAGATTTATTTATTTATGCATACAAGACCTGGGGTACATGCCCGAGATGCAGGGGGTGAAAGGACTCACCAGAGACAAAATGGGGAACAGAACAGGCAGACTGACTGAAACACACTGTTGAGGGGAGCAGCAGGTGAGACAGGAGAGGTCTGCTGTGCCATGTGGATTGCTCCCTGGCTGGCTGGGGATCAAACTCATGCTGCAGAGGCTGTGGATTACTTCATAATGTGTTGTTTAAGCCCTTGCACCACCAGGGAGGCCCCTGAATAAACTTTATGACATGGGGGAATTCTTAGAAATCTAGAACCCTCTAAGACTGAATCTGTAAGGAGACAAAAACCTGAAAGCCCAATAAGAAGAAAGAAAATTGAAGCAATCAAATTCTCCCCAAAAAACAAAAGCCCAGACCAGATAGTAGTAAGTTCTTCTAAATCTTCAAAGGTGAGTTAATATCTATCCTTCTCAAACGCTTCCAAAAATATAGAGAGAAGATTTCCAAACACATTTTATGAGGTCAATATCACTCTGATACCAAAACCTACCAAAGACATCACACACAAAAAAGAAAATTACAGATCTATTTTTCTGATGAACGCAGATCTAAAAATCCTCAACAAAATCTTAGCAAACTGAATTCAACAATACATCAAAAGGATCATATATCATGATCAAGTGGGATGTATTCCAGGGTCACAGGGATGGTTTAACATCTGAAAATCAATCAATATAATTCATCACATCAACAAAAAGAAAGATTAAAATCATATGATTTTATCAACAGATGTAGGGAAAACATTTGTTAAGATTCAAAATATTTTATGATAAAAAAATTTCAAAAACAAAAAACATATGGAATATTTCTCAATATAATGAAGGTATATTATAACAAAACCATAGCCAACATCATACTCTATGGTGAAATACTGAAAGCTCTTTCTCTAAGAGTTGATATAGAAAAGTATGATCACTTTCACCACTGCTATTCAACATTGTTCTAAAAATTTCATTTAAAGCAATCAAGCAAGAGTAAACAATAAAAGTAATCCAAATTGGGAAAAAATAAGTAAAACTATAACTATTTACAAATGACATGACAATATACAAAGAAAACCCTAACAACTCCACTAAAAAACTATTGAAATAATAAATAAAGTTAGTAAAGCAGTAGAGTATAAAAATCAATTTGTAAAAATCAGTTGTATTTCTGTGATAAAGAGTGAGAGAAGTTGTATTTCTGTGGTAAACAGAAGAGAAAAAAAATCAAGCAAACAACACACATAATTGCATCAAAAAGAATTAAATACCTAGGAGTAAACTTAAAGGAGATTAAGGATCTGTACAATGAAAACTATAAGACACTGTTAAAACAAATAGAAGATGGCCTCCCTGGTGGTGCAAGTGGTCAAGCACAGTGCTCTGAGGCTATCCACAGCCTCTGCAGCCTCTGAAGCATGAGTTCAATCCCAGCCAGCCAGGGAGCTAACCCACATGGCACAGCAGACCTCTCCTGACTTACCCGCTGCTCCCCTCAGCAGTGTATTTCAGTGGATCCACCTGTTCTGTTCCCCACTCTGTCTCTGGTGAATCTTCTCACCCCCCATACCTCTGGCTTACACCTCAGTTTTTGTATGCATAAATAAATAAATCTTTAAAAAAAAAAAAAAAGGAAAGACAGAAAAGATAGAACAAAGTGGAAAGATATCCCCTGTTCACAGATTGGAAGAATTAACATTGTTAAGGTGGCCATCCTACCCAAATTAATACACAGATTCAATCCAATCCCTACTGAAGTTACATGGCATTCTTAAAAAAACAGAACAAACCATACTGAAATTCACATGGAATTACAAGAGATCCTGAATATCCAAAACAATCTTGACAAAAAAGAGATAGAGTGCTGATATCATATTCCCAGACTTCAAACTACATGACAAAGCTATAGTAATCAAAATAATATGGTGCTAGTACAAAACAGTTACACCAACCAATGGAATAGAATTGAAAGCCCAGAAATAACCTGCACATCTATAAACAGTAAATCTATGACAAAGGAACTAAAAGTTTACACCTCAGAGGGCCTCCCTAGTGGCGCAAGGAGTTAAACACAGCACTGTGAAGCTATCCACAGCCTCCACAGCCTCTGCAACACAAGTCAATCCCTGGCTAGCCAGGGAGCTACTCACATTGGCACAGTAAACCTCTCCTGGCTCACCCGCTGCACCCCTCAACACTGTGTTTCAGTCAGTCTGCCTATTCTGTTCCCCACTCTGTCTCTGGTGAATCCCTCTCACCCCCAGCACCTCTGGCCTGTACCCCAGTTCTTGTATGCATAAATAAATAAATAAATCCTTAAAAAAACGATTATATTTAAAAGAAAAGTTTACACTGGAGAAAGGAGAGTATCTTCCACAGTGGTGTTGGGAAAACTAGCTAGCCACATACAAAAGAATAAAACTAGATCACCATCTCACAAATTAAACAAATAATAACTCAAAATGGATTAAAGACATGGATATAAGATGTAAAACTATAAAGTATATTGCAGGAATTAAAACACCCCATGACACTGACTTTAGAGATGTATTGGAGCTTATTCTCCAAAGGCAATAAAAACCAAAGCAAATATAAACAAATGGGAACAAATCAAACTAAAAAGCTTCTGTACAGTGAAAGAGACTGTCAGTAAAGCAAAAAGACACCCTACTGAATAGGAGATAATATTTTCATAGCATACATTTGATAAGGAGCTCATATACAAGATCTACAAAGAACTCAGACAATCCGACAAAATTTATAAACCAATCAAAAAATGTAAAGAAAAACTAAATAAGCAGTTCTCCAATGAAGACATACAGATAGCAAAGGGCACATGATAAGGGGGGGGTGCAATTGTATGGGGAATATAACCATAATGAAAATGCACACATTGTGCAAAGATGAAAAATGATGTAAGAATTATATAAAATAAAATATTAAAAAAAGAAATGCTTATCATCACTTATCAACAGGGAAATGCAAATCAAAACTGCAATGAGATACCATCTCACACCTGTGAGAATGGCCTTTATCAAAAAGTCCAGAAATAAGAAGTGTTAGTGAAGGTATGAACAAAAAGGAATCCCTGAAAGCTATTGGTGGGAATTGCAGCCCTATGAAAAACAGTATGAACGTTTCCCCAAATGTTAATAATAGATCTACCATGTGACCCAGCAATTCCCTCATAGGTATCTACACAAAGAATGCAAAAACACTAATTTGAAGGGATATATACACTCGTATATTCTTTGCATCCCTATTTACAATAGCAAAGTTTGGAAAGAAGCTAAATGCACAAGGACAGAGGACTCGGTTATTTAAAAGATGAAATGTTGCCATTTGCAACAATATGGATGGAAATAGGTTAATGTTAAGCAAAATAGTCAGGAGAATACAAATACCGATGGTCTCACCAACATATGGACTATAGAGAAAGAAAACAGAGGGTCAGACAAAATCTAACCAATAAAAAACCCTTGGCATCTGACTGCAAAACTGAGGCAACCAGAATATGAGTGGAGTAAGGTAGGGGCTCGGGAGGCAGGGAGACAAGCAGAACATAGTGGAAGATTATTGGGACTTCAGTAGTGGCCATGGTATGAAAACATACATTTGTAGAGGATCTATAAGCCCTGAAACAAATACAGTGCTGTAAACCAACATTACCACAATAGACCTAATTAGGAAAAAAAAAAAAAAGAGAGAAAGTTCTTCTTTACTGTGTTTTTAGGTTTTCTATTTTGCTATGTTTTTATTTGTGCTTCTTTACAGATTCAGGTGCACAGACCTGGAAGATAATATTCCTTTATTTCTTTGCTAAATCTTTGTTCACATGAGGGCTCTCTTTTTGTATTTTAATAGTTTCTACCTTTTCTCCTTTATTATCATAACTCTTTCCAAAGACTCCTACTCTCCTATGTTTATTTTACATGTACTCTCAATAAATTCTCCATGTGTGCGTATGTGTGTATGTGTATGTAGTGCTTTACACTATGCTTATTTTGACCTGCAATAAATAACACCATGAAATGCCTCATCATGTTTCTTACTAGTTTATGCTCAGCAATAATTTGAGATTTATCCATTGCTACATTTAATCATTGTTTGTTATCTATGGCTGCTGCACAAAGTCTACACATGTGTTGCAGGTTTTATTTCTCTATTTCTCTAACTTATAAGAGATATAGATTGCTTATAAGTAATCCATATCTCTTACAAGTAAGATAAAAGTCACTATAAGTCAATAAATGTTTCTGTAAACATCTCTTCGTTGATTTACACAAATTTTTCCCTAGATATATAACCAAGAATAGACTTCCTGGCCTCCCCTGGTGGCACAGTGGTTGAGCGCTGGATTGCGAGGCTCCCGGCAGCCTCGGCAGTGCCAGTTTGATCCCCAGCCACTGGCGAGGGTCCCACAAAAAAAAAAAAAAATAGACTTCCTGGTTCATAAAACTAGGTTCATTCTTCATATTATTTAGACATTGTCAGATTGCTGCCCAGAACGGCATGACAATTACTCATGTCTTCATCAGCACCTAATATTAGTCAGTTTTCTAAGCTGAAATGTAGGCTTAAAATCATAAATCGCTGTTGTTTTACTTTGCCTTTTTACTTTGCCATTTACTAGGGTGTTAAACATCTTGTTACAGATTTATTAACCATTCAGCTTTCTCCTTCCGCAAAATGTCCACATAAACACTTTGCCCAATTTCTATTGGATTTATTGTACTTTTCTCTCTAATTTATAGTATTCCAGCTATTGATTGTTTGCTTGCTGACAATGGACACTGCAAATATCTTCAATTACTTCATCATTTATTTTGTCTTTGATGTTCCTCATAGCATGGAAAATCTTTATTTTTGATATAATAAAATCCATCTGTTTTCCCACTTAGACTTTTTACTATGGTCCCCTTTTTATTATTCCTACTCTAACTTCTCAAAGATTTCCCCCTCACTTCCTGTTATTTTTATAATTTTAACTTATACATTTAGGATTTTAATTCACCTGCAGCTCACCTTTACACACAAAGTGAAGTGAAATTTAATGTTTTTACCCAATCAGTGTGCCAATTTTCCATGTATCATCAAATACAATCCCTCAAGATTTGTGTTGCTTCTGCTACACAAATCAACGTGCACTAGCATGGTTTTCTTTTCTTCACCACAAGATTTTTCATTGACTTCCATAGAAAATTGTACCTTTTGTTGGTATAGCTTTTCAAAGTGGAGCATAACTCTGAATACTTGCTCCAGCTTTTCAAAATCATCTAGACTTCAAGTGTGCTCATTGTTTCATATGAATTTTAGGTCAGATTTTCCCATTGTCCAAAAATATCTGCTGGAATTTTAACTGATTCTAAATTGAATGTATACAACAACCTGGAAAAATTAACATTTTT